TACTGCCCTTTGAAGGGCAAGCATGTCATGCGCATCACCTTTACACTGTATCTGTGAGCTTGGTTTATTTAAAAAATGTATTCATTATTTACCTCCCTCACGAGAATGTAAGCTCCACAAGGGCAAGGACTGTGGCTAAAGCTCAGAGTAGTTCCTGGCATATAGTGGCTGCTCATGGCAGAAAACAATGAATGGATCAGTGAGTCCCTGGCAGTCCTAGGGCTTAAGGTGTCTCGTTACATCTCAGCAGCAGGGCTTTCTGGATCTTCATTTTAATTCTCCTCCATCATTCTCTGCTTCCTGCTTTTCCCAGGCAATCCTCGCCCCATCTACTCGCTGAGCTTTCTCTCTCGGCTTCACTGACTCAGCGCCGTGCTTACTCACATCTCCCTGCTTACTCGGCCTCTCCCGGTGCACCTGTGCGACTTCTGCCCCCTCTGCTCGCCTCTGGCCTCTCCCTGACTTTACAGCTGAAATCCCAGAGGTAGAGCATCTCACTGGGTCAGCCCATTCCCCACGTAGGCAGAGACTTTAGATCTTTAGACTATGTTCTGGGTCATTTGTCTGTACTGATTCACTCAGCCTATGGCATAGGCACAGAGCACGGCAACCTAGACACAAAGACCTGTCATTTCACTGGGCAGAGGCATTAGATACAGCAGTGGCCTTTAATGACCAGTTGACCAGAGCCTGAGAAATGAACGCTGAGTAGTTTGTACTTTAGGGAGATACTGACATTCTGAAAAGAGCATTGATTGACCAGATCTACGTTTTCAGAAGACAACTTTGGTTACCCCATGAATGAACCAGTTTATAATGAAGAAGATGTACAAGGCGAGTTAGGAAGCCATGCCAGGGACAGCTGATCAGGCTCAAGCCAAGCCAGGGGCAATGAGGTTGAGAGTAGGAGGAGCAGGTGGGTCTTGAACGTGAAGATGTCCACTAGGCACGTGAGGCTCAAGTTCAGCAGAAAGGATAGGTCTAGACACCTAGCTCTGGAAGTCATAAAGGTATTAGTTAAAACTGTGAGGTGCATAGTAAGGCAAGAGATTTCAGAGGTAAAGAGCAGATCAAAGGAGAAAAACTTGATAAATGATCTAAGTCGGAAACATGTATACAGACGAGTAGGCTCTGACAGTCAGAGTGCCGGATGAAAACAGGGAGGTATGTCCCCCACATATTCTCAAAAGTACAGGCCCAGAGGATCCTGCATTAGATCCCACTCTATTCCAAACCCCAACCTTCTAGTCTAGTTTTCCTGCAGAAGGTACTGATACTTCTTGGGAATCCACAATTTTCTAAAAATACATCAGCTGCGCTGCAGGGCCACAATTAGTGGAGCTGTTGTCCCATGAAACCCTCATCACCATTTTGCTTAGATCAGAGAGCGGATTAACTTTGATGTCTGTCTGAAACCCGTGCAAGACACCACTGGTGGTCTGCTCCCTGCAAGCATTCAATCTTCACATCCAAGGAAAGAAGGAGAGAGTGCTGGGTAGGAGCCCAAACCAATTTTTTTCTCAGTGATTGAGATGAAAATATGCACCCTAGGATTCCTGACATATTTGACTTGCATCCTGTCTTCGTACATCCCTGAGCTTTCTCCCTTTGCACAAATACCTTCCCCCAGACCCAAACTCCCTTTGACTTTCACAAACATTCGCACAGCTATGAAGCCCCAAACCCTCTGTCTATGCCACATGGAAATTTCTGTCGCTATAAGGGCTCCTGGTACCATGCAACAAAACTGACTCTAACTGAAGTCCAAAAGGAGTTACTGGAAGCACATGGATGGCCTGCACAATACAATGAACAGTGGAGAGTCAGGGGAACAACGGAAGCTCCAGGGTTCCATCCAAGTGGGAGACATGCAAAAATCTCATCAGAACATTAGCAATAAAAAACAAACAACAACAACAACAAAAACCACTGCAACTGTGCTTTCTGTCCTTGTGTCACCATCCTTACAATCCCGATTTCTGTGAGGAAGGACAATGGGACCAGCTTAGAATTGTACCCACACTCAGACACCACGAGCTCACTGACTCTGCAAGGCAGTGTAGATTGATGACAAGAGTGGGTTTCTGGAGAAAAACAGCCTGAATTGGAACCCCAGCTCTGCCACTTACTAGCTGCATGACCTTGAACTGGCCATTCTTGCTATGCCCCAGCTCCCCCCTCTGCAAATGGAGATACCTATACATGGGGGTTGGTGAGTACTGAATGGATAAACCTGTGATCGTGACTGGCACAGGGGACATGTTCTACAGCCTTGATGTTGGTATTGATAGGAATGTACAGGGCGCCTAGATTTACAATCCAACCAAGAGTACCAAGACGAGAGGTCATTCTCTGAAAGGAACTAGGAGCTATTATTAGGGGAGGGTGAGTGGCCAAAAAGCAATTACTTATTATCCATTGCAACATCTCATTCCTCCACCAGACTGTAGACACCATGATGACAACAAACTCTCCTGTTAATTCTCTGCTGCCTCCACCAGCACCCGAAAAATGCCTGGGACACTGTTCCTGGCTCAGTGAACCTTTGTTGAATACACAAGTGTTGACTGCTTCTTTTTTGTGTTCCTGACCAACTAGTTCAGTGCTGTGCCCTGAGCTGGCACACGATAAGTCTTTGCTGATTTAATTTATAGATCAGTGGACTTCTTGGAAACAGGGAGAATGCTGGGGTCAGAGACGGACTTACATTTGGTAGGACTCAGTGGCAAGCAAGTGCTAAGTTTTTGGTGTGATGATGCTAATAAGCTATACAAATGGCATAGGTGGTCTATAAAACAGGGCAATCCTTGACTTGCAGCTCAGGGAGCAAATGAAATTATACCCATGGTGATTTCATCTGGGACTCCTTCTGTTTTCAAAGACAGAACCCAATTCAAACTGGCTTCAGTAAATAGGGGATTTTGTGTTATCAAGAAGTCCACGGACAGATCCCATTTTAGGCACAGGTGGCTTCAGGGGCTCAAATGTAATGTCAACATCTGATTTCTTTCTCTCTCTCGGGTCTCCTTCTGCTGTATTGCCCTCATTCTCAGTCTCTAAGTAGGGGTCCCCAGCAACTTCAGAGTCTCATTCTCTCAAGTTCAAACCCAGCTTCCCAGCAGCTGGGACAGACTATGGTTGGCTCAACACTGGTCGTGTGGCCAGTAAGTTGCAGCTATATTTGATGATCAGGTCTGTGCTCTGTGCCAATCAATCCCTTTGGTGAGTGAGCTTGGTCAGGCTTGGTTATATGCTTAATTCTTGGAGAGGAAAAAAGTAAGGATTTGAGTGGGGAGGAGGGGGAAGCCCCAGCTTACCTCATGGATTGAGAATGGGAAAGGGGTGGTTAGCCAAAAGATATTCAGGGTACTATTAACAGAAAGCAAAGTGGACGCTGCTAAAATGACAAATATGCACGACGCCTGGGGATTTTCATATCACGTGATATATGAATGAAGCATGCATTGCTTCATTCCCTCTGTGCTATGAAGTCTTCTGTCCTCACCCTAACAAGCTCCTGCAAGCTCCTGAGGAGCAGCTGCCTCACCCTACAGTCATCTGTCTTCCTCCTCTGAACTTCTGTAGCCCGCAGGACCATATCACTCACTGGCAACATCGGGTCATTAGTTTTCTTTTTATGTATATGTCCTGTCTCTTCATCAACATGGCAAGATCCTGGAGAGCAAGGGTCACATCTTATTCATCTTTGCGTTCCCCGTAGCACTTTGCCTGGTGTTTGGGGCATGACTGATAGTTCATAAATCTGCTGACAGATCGAACACCTGATTTATATGCTTCTGGAACCACAGAGGTAGACAGTAGCTTGATTCAACTACAAAACTGCAAAGAAAAAGGAAACCTGTGCTCTGAATGCACACCGTTTCGGAAAGATCATAGATCTTTTCTGGACTAAATAATGCTGCTGGGGTCAAGATGAATATCCTCTTTGTTCCCCAGCTCCCAGCTGCTAGTATCATTCTTATTAGTAAAAGATTGAGTGATGGTCCAAGAAATCTTAGTCTCAGGTGACCAGTATACCCCTGGTCAGGTCATAGGCAGGCACAGCCCACCCAGAAGGATGGAGGATGTCAGTCATAGGAAGAGGAAGCAGGTGTCTGTCCTCAGTGGCCTCCCACCCCAGGCAATAAGGCAGAGCCTCAAAGTCTCATCTGTGCAATTGGCCACTGGCTCTCTGCCCTGGGCTGGTCCTTATTTATTCCCGATTCTCATTTGTAAAGGGAATAGGGAGAGAGGAGGGACGGAAAAACGGAGTCAGAAAGTCTTCTTGTAGCATGGATGTTGAAACAACATTCCTCCTAGGCTAGTCTTGGTCCAGAAGCCCCTGTGGCTCTGGTTTCAGAATCCCTCTGCAGGCCACTCTGGGCCAGGCGATTTGCCCCTTTGTGTCTAAACCCCTCAAATCACCCTCGGGGAGGCCAAGAGACTGGTCCAAAGCGGGGCCGCCAAGCCGTGGTTCCCTCACCTGTAAAATGGGTGGACTAATATCAAGTTAAGTCAGCGAGCCACAGAGAGCATACGGCTCATGGCAGACAGTTGCCAAAATCAAATCAGTGGGGGTAAAACAGGAAAGCGTGCGTGGTAAAGGAGAGAGTGGCAAAAGAGGTCAGAGGAGTGGTGGGTGGAACCGCTGGGGTGGGAGCCAGAGGGCAGGGCAGGGCAGGGCAGGGCAGGGCAGGGCAGGGCAGGGGGCAGAACAGGGTCCGCGGAACCGAGAGCAGCAAAAGCTCTCGGGTCAAACCGCCTCTAGTGATCGGCTGGTGCATTACACCGCCAGGGAGCGCGGGAGGCGGAGCGCTGCGCTTGAGGCCCCGCCCCACCTGCCCCAACTCCGCCCCCACCCGCCCCAGCCCCGCCCAGTCCCCAGGACCCGCCTCTGACCCCACCCATTCCGAACACGGCCCCGCCCCACCTCCTAGCCACGCCCCCAAGGCCCGGAAGCAAAAGTGGCTCCGCCTCTTCCGAGCTGTGTCAAGACCCGGCAGCGCGAGCAGGCTCCCGAGTCGTGGGGTTCCGAGTTGCGGGGTCCTGCGCTGGTCAGGGCAGTTCCCGCGGGCGCCATGTCCCGAAACCTGCGGACCGCGCTCATTTTCGGCGGCTTCATATCTCTGGTCGGCGCCGCCTTCTACCCCATCTACTTCCGCCCCCTCATGCGGCTGGAGGAATACCGTGAGTGACCTCTGACCGAGTGCGGTGACCTAGAAACTCCCCGCCCCCGTCTTCTCCACGTGGGGACGTGGAGCGATCTCGGCTCCGGAGTCAGGCTGAGCTGGGTCTGACTTCTGCTGTGTGCAGCTTTGTGACCGTAGTCGACTCAGTCTCTCCGATCCTGAGAAAATAACTATTTCTGTAATATCCAAAATCAAGCCTCCCGTGAGACTCCAAGGTGGTCATGAAAGTAGGCTGCCCGTAGTAGGTCGACACTAGATACTAGGTCATACTTACAGTTAACATTAGCTGAATGCTTATCGTGTGTCAGGTTAGGCATACGTTGGATCCTTACATTTCCACCACCTTGTTTTGAGGTAGTTATTAATACCTGTTATACATATGGGGAAACCGAGGCACAGAGAGGCGGTATAACATGCCTAAGGTCACACAGCTAGTAAGTGGCAAGGTAGATAGATAGTCCTGCCCAGGTCCCTGCCTCCAGAGCTTCTACACACTGTAGCTGGAAATGGTGATGTTGGGGAGAGAGAGATTGAATCCTAATCTTCCTGAGCTTGAAGGTGATTTTATTGGCAACTTCATTTCCACTCCCAGAGATATCTTTGCGTGGAAATGTTTCAAACCTAAACTGTTAAGCTGGGTTTTTTCGTTTTTCCTCGCAAATCTTTTTTCAGGTTCTGCTGTCTTCATTTTAAGCTGGTTGCTCACATGACAATGGTGAATATCCTGGGAGTAATTTTTCTCCTTAATCATTCAAGTCCTATCATACTAAAAGCCAAACTCTCCTTCCTTGAGACCTATACCTCAGCAAGGATTAGCATTTTGATACATCTGAAACCATCTGTCAGAGAGAAAATATTAAGCATTAGAGGCTCATTTTGTTCTCCAGGAAACCTGAATCATCTTGAAGATGGAAGAGGGCCAACTGTGCCCCTTGAGAATATTAGCGGAGGCTGAAAGCTTGGCCATTTGAAGGGGAAAGCTCCGTGTAAATGCTCTGCCCGTTACAAATGCTACAACATTTGATTTCTGGAGGCAGAGCATTTTAAATACACTTAAATTTTCTTGTAGCTTCTTTTCATGAGCCAAGATTAAAATGGCCTCTGTGCATTCTGCTTTCCAGCCTAGGCACATTGCGTGGCCAGTAAACAGGGCTGGGTGAAGCTCTGCATAATCTATTTCCATCATCCTTCCATATTGGATCCTTGTCACAGGCTATTTTATTATACAGCCTCTAGAACTGAACATGGAACAAAGGGGTCTGCTTTGGATCCCACTGGAAAAGTCTGTTTTGAAGACTAGAGCAGTGACTTTTAACTGGGGATGATTTTGTTCCCCAGGGGACACTTGTTTCTATCTAGAGACATTTTACTTGTCACAACTGGGGGTGGGGTTAGGGTAGGGTCAGTGTGCTTCTGGTATCTAGTGGATAGAGGCCAGGGATGTTGCTAAACTTTCTGCAGTACATCGGACAGATTCTCATGACAAAGAATTACCCAGCTTCAAATGTGAATGGTGGCAAGGTTGAGAAATCCGGGTCCAGATCAGATGATCAGGGTGTGGGTTGGTGCCGTGTATCCCAACACAGTCCTATAGAGATTCTCTAGATAGAATCTGGGGTTGAGTCACTTGAGACAGACAAATCAGGCATTTTAGATAAACATTAGTGGGTGGCCATATATCTGCATTTTAACTGGAAGGCAGTCTACAGCTGTCCACTTTTTTGGTTCAATTTTAATAACTCTGTCCAATTCTTATTTGAGAGGCATAACTGATTCTTTACTATACTAGTGGAAACACTAGTATAGTATTATATTAAATAATAGTAAACAATTAGCATTTACTGAAAGTTTATTATACATACTATGTCTGGCACCCTTCCAAGCACTTCATATATATTAACTCATTTAATTCTCATAATAACTTTTTGTGGTAGCTGCTGTGTGAGCATCATCCCCATTTTATGTGTGGACAAACTGATGTCTGGAACAGTTAAGTAACTTGCACAAAGACCCACAGCTGATGAGTCACAGACCTGGGATTTGAATTGGTGCCATTAATCGGTGTAGCAGGCACCACACTGCCCCTCCAAGGGAGTAAGAAAAGGGAGTTAGGCAAATGAGCGTCTAGTAGCTGAGGACCTCAAGGTACGCACTTAACCTCTCTGAGCTCAAGCCTCTTTTCTAATCTGTAGCAATGGAGCCTGCAGACTGAATGTACAGGTTTGGGGGTGTTTTTAATAAGATAATAAGTGTGGAAACACTAGTATAGTATTATATTAAGCATCCTATAAAAACATTTAACAAAATAAGGAGCCACAAGGACAGGGATGTGAAGCAAGATTTCAGCAAGTAGACACACCCAGGGCTGGCTGGCCTGCAGTACACTGGGGTCCAGTGTTGTGCTGTGGAAACCACCGGGAGGATAGAGCTTAAATTAATTTTAGCACATTCAACTAGCATTTATTAGCTTTTTTTTTTTTTTTTTAAATTTAAACCTGGATTTTAGCCTTAGCCATATGGCTTAGTTGGTTGGAGCATCGTCCTGTACACTAAAGGGTTGTGAATTCAATTCTCAGTCAGGGCCCGTGTCTAGGTTGTGGGTTTGTTCCCCAGTCAGGGTTCATATGGGAGGCAACTGATAAATGTTTCTCCCTCACATCAATGTCTCTCTCTCCCCACCCCTTCCTTTCTTTCTAAAATCAATAAAAAAAAAACCCAAACATATCCTCAGGTGAGGATTTAAAAAACACTTCAATCCCGGCCCATGTGGCTCAGTGGACTGTCACCCCATGGACTGAGAGGTCCTTATTCGATTTATGGTCAGGGCATGTGCCCAGGTTGTGGGGCCAGTCCCCAGCAGAGGGCGTGAAGGAGGCAGCTGATTGATGTTTCTCCCTGACATCAATGTTTTCATCTCCCTCCCTTCCTCTCTCTCTAAAAAATCAATAAAAACATATATTTTTAAAAAAAACAAAAAACATAAAAAACCTGGATTTTGTTTATTTATTTTTCTTTATTGATTTTAGAGAGAGGGAGAGAGAGAGAGAAACATCATGAGAGAGAACATTGATTGGCCCCCTCCTGCATGCCCCCACTGGGGATTTGGCCCACAACCTGGGCATGTGTCCTGACTGGGAATCAAACCGGTGACCTCTTGGTGCATGGGCCGATGCTCAACCATTGAGCCACACTGGCCGGGCCCAAAACCTGGATTTTAGTAATTGCTGTATACCTGTCACTGTGGTAGGTGCTGGGTGAACATGATGGAACAAGACAGTCTGAGCACTTCTCTTTGTCCAACCCACCTCCCCAGCTACGGCTTGGATTCCGAGCTGGTCTCCCTGCGTCCACCAGGCCCCAACTACTACCCATTCTCTACCAGCAGCCAAGGGTGGTCTTTCTGCTTACTTTGTATTGCTGATTTCTACCTGATTAGCATTTGTAGTCAAGGAATGTGGACTGTGATTTTGATTCTTTGATATTGGTGAAGATTTGCTGTGTGGCTTAGTACAGATCAATTTTTACAAATGTTTTCTACGTGCTTGGAATCCTGTATAGTCTCTGGTTGTTGGATACAGGTACTATATATATTGATTACAGAGCAAGTTTCTTGATTCTGTTATTTAGATGTCTTGAGGCCTTGTTATTAGGTGCCCAGAATCTAGACTATTCTGGAGAATTATTTTCAATTATCATTATATAGGGATCTTCTTTATCCCAGATATTCTGACCCATTCTATTTTATCTGATTTTATTATAGTTAACCAGCTTTCTTTTGGTTAATAGTTTTCTGGTATATCTATCCTCTTATAGTCAGCCTTTATTTTTACTTAAGCCTGAACTGGATTTTTAAATCCAATCTGATCATTTCTTTTAACTGTTGGATTGAGTTCATTTTCATTATGTTTACTATTATATTTACTTTTATTTTCTCCATCTTATTTTGTGTTTTCTATTCTTCTATCTACCTCCTTTCCCCTCCTTTTCTGCCTTCAAGGCTTTATTTTTCTCCCTCCTCTACTATATAATTTGAAAGTTTTACATTCTGTTTTTATTATTTTGTGATTATTGTTTAAAGGTAGTCTATATCTTTATCCGCCTATGAAATATACAAAGACCTTAGACCGCCTGAGCCCCATCCTAGTCTTATGTATAACTTCAGCCCTACCTTGTGCTTGTCACTCCTGGTGTTTCCTACATTCCTGATTGTTTCTCTTGATCTACATTCTTTAGGTACCAGTCCTTCTTGCATTTCACTCATTTCTGGTTTCAGTTTTCTATGTTCTGAGATATATCTGCTAATACTCATTTGGTGAGACTTTGTAACTGGAAAAATTCATTCTTGTTTGGCAGAAAATGTATAGAACTCCAGGTCTTCTGCTGTGGCTGCTGTCATGCCATTTGTTCTTTGAATTTGATCATCTCGCTTGATTAAAATACTTCAATAACCCTCTGCTGTCCTCTGAATCCATCCAGTGAGGGATCACTGAAGTGTTTTAATCGGGAGAACGAAGTGATGAGGCTCACTTTTTACAGGCATTGCTCTGAAATGTGAAGGAGGGGCTGAAGGGCCAAGGCTGGGGGCGGGAGGGCCAGGCACAGGACAGCTGTGCTTCCTGTGGACACGGGAGAGTAGGGAGAGGTGACTGGAGCCTGAACCGGAGCAGTGGTCCTGGGACTGGGAAGAAGTATCGAATTTGGGAGCTGTATTTAAGAAGTAAACTCGACATGGATTTGTGACTGACTGGCCACAAGGTGAGGGAGGGAGAGGAAGGAGAATGGCATTCAGCTTTCTGGCCCCGCAGCTGAGGAGATGGTGCTGGTCATTTAGTAAGAAGCACAAGAAGGAGTCATTTTGGGGGGTGAGAGGCAGAGCTAGTTGCATTTGGGATATATTGAGTTTTAGCAGTCAGGATGTGCTCTTGGAAATTTCCCATAGGCAATGGGAGGTGCCAGTCTGGAGCTGAGATCCTGGATCTGGGCTGGAGCTAGAGATGC